TGTTGACCGCATATGTATACCAGATGTTGACCGCATCTGTATACCAGGTGTTGTAAGCTTGAATGAGAGTTTGGTGCAATGGATAATGATTCGAAATTGGAAATCGGCGATCCAAGTTCCGATTCCAGTCGTGTTCGTTATATTCATTTACACGTAAAACACGTTGAAAAAAGGTATGAAACCATCTCTTCTCTCCCCCACCTCTATAGGCTAATTAGTAGGAATTGTATCAGATCATTATTATCTGCCAAATAATTCTTTAAATAACCTGAAAAAGGCCGTAAAAACAAATAAAATGTCATTTAAGATATTACATGATAAAATTGTGTATATTTTAAACAGTCGACAGTTATGTCAAATTCTTTAAAAATACATTTTTTTTTAGATATTAGATAAATAAAAAGGTACTACTATTCCAATAAGCAAACAAAAAAAAAACATTAAAGTGGTCAACAAAAATGTTGAATGCATTGACTGTGTTACATTTTCTCACCTTAGACATTTTAAAGTGTTTTTGGCTGTGGCTCATTCTCCTGGTATGTTTGAGAATGGGCGGGACCCACAGATTCGGCTGAGAAATAATCAGACTAAACAAAATGAAACACTTCACAGTAAACAAAATGTCTATGTTGCCCAGCAATGAGTACTATGTAAATCCGGCACAAATACAGAGATATACAGGTATTTACATACTGATATGTGTCCAATAGTAGTTTACGAGGAACTGGTATGTCTACGTTTCTTTCTTTCTTTCTTTCTTTCTTTCTTTCTTTCTTTCTTTCTTTCTTTAATCTCTCTGTCTCTCTGACCCATGCAAACGAGAGTCGAGACCAGGATTTCTGAGAGTCATTTTCAAGATCGTCCGGCTCTACGTACATTCAACACTGTTATAACCTGCGATTATCACGTGGTTACCTGTGTCTCTCTCTCTCTCTCTCTCTATATATATATATATATATATATATATATATATATATATATATACTAGCAGCATGGCTCGGAAGTTGCTCGTGCTTGATTCAAAAATCGTACGACTCATACAGCAATCACTATCACTTGACTTAAAATAATTTTACCTATCTTTGCCTTTAATGGAGTGCCCTTACTTCACACACTGCGAATTTTCTCTAAGCTCTATACTAAACATTAAATCTGTTACGAAAAAAGAACTAAACAAAATGAACACAAAACGATCAGCTTTAAAAAAAGGACTCCTAACTGGAAAAACCGAATGAAAAAAGAATGTTAACAACAAATACTTTTTCACACGCAACCCAGTTCTGCGGAATCAGAATCAATGTTGAGTTTAAGCAAGCGAATGAGCCAATTGGAGTAAAGTGACATGCAGATTAAAATTTTTCACACTTGTGACGAATGCAGCTATCAATTTTTTTGCATGCTAGCATGCTAGTTAATATTCGTGTCAGTCAGCTGTTGGCTCTCACGCTGGCCAGTAGAATCTTCCTGCCTATTCGTGGCAGCCAGCTACTGGCCAGTAGAAAATGGCCGCAAACTACATGAAAATTGCCGTAGAAGCATGAAAAAATCGATTATTTCCACTATCGATGGGAGTTAGAAATTCAAAGTTGGTCATGGCCTTTCCGATAACTTCTGGAGCATGTGCATGTAAATTTTGGAGCAAATCCGTCGAAAATTGCGGCTGTGCATTCACACACACACACACACACACACACACACACACACACACACACACACACACACACACACACATATATATATATATATATATGTATTTATACCTAAGATATTGAAGTCAACTGCCAGCAGTCGCCGAGTATTGACTTCAATGTCCACTTATATATTTACATACGCTCTATCTCTGATATTGAGCACTTTAACCGATAAATATAGCATACCTTAAAACCATATATATATATATATATATATATATATATATATATATATATATATATATATATATATATACGCACATGCAGACAGACATGCACACACACGCATATATATATATATAAGCATAAGTACAGTATTTAAAATAAATTCAGATGACCTTCATTCCTTAGCTCCAGTGGTTTACAATTAAGACACTGCTTATGGCCGTATCACATTGAAACATAGGTTTCCGCACGATCATCGAAATTAATCAACGTCGAGCCCGGTCAGTACCTAGATGAGTCACCGCTTGGGTATATCAGGTACTGTAAGCTTGAATGGGCTGGTGGTGTAATGGATAATTGCTCGACATTTTTAATCGGAGAGCCGAGTTCCAATTCCCATTGGGTTCGTTATATTCACTTACGCACAGATACCCTTGGGAAAGGTATGAATCCATCTATTTAATCCCCAAGACCCAGGCTTTCGTGACTAAACCATCATTATCACCCCCCAAAATCAAAAAGCTGCACAGGGTTTTATAATCTGTGGAAAAAGAATCAATCTTAAAATAATCTAAAAGATTAAAATATAAAATGAAAAATAAATAGAGGGCTCAACTCGGTAGAGCTTAAATATAATGTATAAT